TAATAATAATAGTAATAATAATAATAATAATCTTCAATCTGATCTTCCAAGTGCGAGGAATGGGGAATGGCTTTAGCTCAGTGCTAAGGAATAGTTAGTCTTGCTGAATATGAAAAGCTGGAAATTTTCATCTTGAAAAGCAGAAAGTCTCTTGAAATTGGTACCTTTTTTGTACCTTTGTTAATTCAATATTTAAATCTTTTAAAACATGGTAGTTCTTACACAGTTGTGCATTTGACTTGGGGCCCAGTCAAAATTATTTTTTTCAGCAAAACCTGTTTCAAAGCCCTCTGACATCAGAGAAGTTGTTCCACTGAGGTTAGCTGCTTGAGAATGGGCTCATAAGTTATTTTGTGGAGATTTTTCTATTAAAATAATTTTACTGAAGAAGGTAATAGCTATCTGCCATGCCTGGATAAAAGCACAATATCTAAAATCTGTGAAGGTGAATTCATCAATCAGAAGTTATGACTTTAAGGCTTAGAAGAACAAGACTTGGTAAATTCACTCATTTGTAATAAAATTCTTCAGTGAACTCAAGAGAGGCAGAAATTATAAATGTCTAAAAGCTAGTTCTTTATAATTTATTTTTAATATAATCTCTTTGGATAAGGACAGTAAATATACTTACATTACATGAGTCCTTTCCTCCATTCTTATCCCCTGCGCATATCATGTTTTTTGTTATAACAGGCTTCTGTTTATAATGATTTTTGTCATTGCAGATTTGCCTACTGATGACGGTGATATTAACCTCCCTCAGCGTGTCAGAATACATTCCCTTCCCATTGTGAGTTTTTCCCCATCCTGCTGCTGTGCAAATTGTTCCTGGTTTGGGATCTTCATCTGAGCGAGGCAGGGGAAGGCACTTCACAGCTTTGGTAACCTTTGCTCTTTTCTGAAGCTGTAGAAGATATGGAAAATAGTTATGGGGCAGAGTCTAACAAAGACTGCTGCATGTTAGCCACTGTTTTTTTTTGATTATGGTAATGGGGGAATACTGCAACCCCCACTTGAGATTTCTCAGTTATTTGTGACAGGATTTATGTAATTAATCTAAGAATAAGGAAAATGAGTATTCTTTGTCTCATGAAAGCCCATTTAGCTTCTGCTGAAATATTAGCTCTCAAAAATACCCTATTTTACTTCCCTGGCTGTCAGACCATTGGGAAGACAAAATAACAAGTAATCACTGAAGCTGGCAAAATTGAGAATCAGAGAAGTCAGACATTTTTAATTAATTAGAACTGTTTTTCAGACAGAACATTAGAGTTTTTAACCAAATTATTTTTATGTGTGAAATACGCTTCTTTCTGTGGGCAATCTTTATTCTTTCACTGAAAACCCAGAAATTGAAATATCTTGGTCAAGCTCCAGAATTTTTCTAGTTCTAGCATTGGCATGCATTACAGGAATTTTTGGTTGCCTTAGTTTCCAGTGGATCCCCAATTTGTCAGTCTGCTGGATTAGCAGACCAGAGTAGATCACCCCAGAAGAATAGTCACCAGAAACTCCCTTGGCTCATATCCCTCACAAGAAGGAAGAAAATGGCAGATCATAGGCGATGCATATTTGGTAAGTGATGTGTAAGTCTATACCTGCACCAGCATAATGTCGCCTTCCTTAGAACCAGCATGGTAATGTGGGTAGCGAATTTGTTTTGCAATCTGAAAAGACTGTTGTTCTTTTTCTTTTGCTTTCACTGAATGAGCTCCAAGAATAACTTTGCTTCCTTCCCTGAGAACAGAGACAACATGGTTAATGGATTCACTTGCTGTAACTCTGTAATTTTTTGCTGTTAAATATGGTGCTATAATATCCAGCTGCTACAGACTCTCTTCTTCTCATGGCTGAAAAGCAACAGTAATTTAGAAAAATACAAAAGATTACCTTGTTTATAAGTAGTTACAAAAAAAAAAAAAAAAAAAGATGAGTCAGTGAATCAAAGTTCATGCTATCCTATTTTCAGCTTCCTGGGAGCATAGGCAGGGTTCAAGTACTTGACTCTGAACCTACCCCTATTGTTTCCCTTTGGGAACTGAATGAGGGGTGCATGCATTAGTTTTGGTGTTGGTAGTGGTCTCACCAACTGTGCCCTCTGCAATTTGTGTTGAAAATTTAGGAGAGTAGCTCACAGCACTGTGGGTTCAGAGATCATCACAACTGGGCTGAATTGTACCATTGCTTTGCCCTAATGCCATTTCAAAACTATTTTCTGTGTCCATGTGAGACATAGCTCATTCCCTTTCTCTAACTTGTGCTGCAACTTCATATACTTACTAGATAGTGAAGTGGTGACAGAGTTGTGCCTCCAGGGGCTCTCTGGTATAGACAGCCGGAGTCTAACACTCCTTGGTCAAGCAGTCCAAGCAGACCTTCATACCAGAGCATTGGTATAGCTGTTTGTGGTAGAACAATCTATGTTACAGCTGAATGGGAGAATATTCTTGGAGCAAATATGTAGGTTGGCCCTCACTTGCATCTTCCTGTGGCAAACACAACCCGAAAGACGTGGTTGCTCCTTTCCTTCAGCTACTAAGAGCTGTCTGACTGTTGACTGAGCATTATTAGGTTAATTATTTATTGTATTTTCTCTTAAATGTGATCTCATTTGGAAACACGCTTTACCTTATGTTAATATGACATCTTTTGGGCCCCATGCTCCCTTTGTAGTAGGTCCCACATATCTCCATGTTTGGATGGAGACAGGAGAGATGGATACATTTTCCTGATGTCTGCAGAGTCCAGTGATTCACTGGTCCTGGGCAGGCCATGGACAGAGCCTGCGTGACGTCTGGCTCAGCAGCAGCTCCAGTCCTCCCCACAAAGGCAAGGGGTGTGATGTGTCATTTAAACCTCACGTTTTGCCTCACTGAAGGACTCTGTGGGGCCAAACAGCCATTTGCATCTTGAGTCAGACAGAAGGAAGAAAGGTTGGCTGACAAACCAACATATCCAGTAGAACTGAGATCTCTGAGTGTCTCCTGTCATCTGTCCGGATGATTTCTGCTTCTGTATAACTACCTGCTGTCTCTTTCTCTGGTGAACTACATATCTTTTACAGAATAAAATGACAATAATTTATTTCAGTTTCCTGAGCAACTATTTGGACTGGACAGCCCTCTGGCCTAGTGCACTGTTTCACTGAGAAACCAGGGGCAAACCTTTCCCCAAAATTCACTACTTCAGTGTTGCTATTCTGTGCTTGCGTGCAGCTACAAGCTTGTAAAATCTCTCTTCAGAAACAGTGAAGATCAGTATACATTGTTATATTAATTTTTACTCACTGAAGCACATTTGTCAATACAAATTATAAAACACAGTAATCTGAACATGATAGCACAATCAGCACAAAACAACTGGGGATATTAACTTTCCTTCTTGAACAGAGACACCAGATGCTCACTAAGAACAATTTCTGAATCAGAGTAAGAACTTACATATAACAGTGGGCAGCTGTTAACACCCAGTTTTCCTTGATCAAAGTTCCTCCACAAATAAGTTTTCCATTTGCTGCTTGGATTAGGGCCATAAATGGTCTCGAGTGTGGTTCTACTACTTTTCCTCCAATGATATCCACACACAAACCTAAAAATAAAAATAAACCACAATACACAAAGCTGGGCTAACAAATACTGTAAGACACTCAAAGTCTCTTCGAAAAACCAGTTAATGTAATTACAAAGTATACAGACACACAAGTATGTATATATGTCACCATAGTGGTCTTCAGGATAGACTTTTAAAGTTGCTCAGCAGCACTACTTCTGTATGTTTCAATGGGACCAAAACTAGATGAGCAGGGTGAACTTTGACAAGAAAAACACCAAAGTATTGTTGCTCTTGCACAGATTTCTTTTCTTGAAGTTTGCTGCTCTGGTTAATTTCTTAGCTTTCATTATGAGTAACAACCTCAGATCTGCCACATGATAAATGTTGTACAATATGTGACTTATGCAGACACCTGGAAATTGGCTTATATGGTGTAAGTTGCACTACATGAACCTGTTTTGCAGCAAAACATAACATCAAGAGATTAATGTATGTGTATGCCTCTGGAGAGAAAGGTCAGATAATTATTATGTTAATTACTCAGAACTCATCCAAACAGCCTGTCCTCTGTACAGCTTTAATTAATACTATCCATTCAGAAACTATTCTGTTTGTACAAAAGAATATATGCAGACAGTGAAAAAGAGTTAATAATGAGAGCTCAAATAATAAACGTGACCACTTTACATTAATACATGTTGGCTTAACTGGAACTCTGTATGTCAGCATTTACCTTCAAAAGGATCGAATTGGGCACTTACCTCCATGAATTACCAGGAGAATGACAGCAGCAGAGGCGGACAAAGTGAGGAAAGCTGCCATGATTTCTGTCTGGTGTTCTCCCTTAGTCGCTGTTTAATATATATATCTCTAAATAAAAAGGATGTGGGTTTTGTTTTTCCTCTTAAAGGATATTTGACATTTGTAACTGTAATGAAGGCAAAAACCCCTCCCCAACAACGTAGCTTACAGCAGAGGTTTTAGTGAGAAATTGCGTCATCTGTTGTGGTGTGAAAACAGGACCTGTCCCCCCTTCATGTTCTCTCTGTAGCATTTGCAGAGAGCTAGTATATGAGTAGTGGGGTGAAACGTTGCAAGCCACTACGTGTCTGGTTACACCATAGGACTCGGCTCACATAAATTTAGGCTTGATTCGGTTGCCCACATGAAGACGTATAGTTTCATTCTAGACATGGCAGGTGGCCTCCAGGTCAGAGGTGAATCACAGCCCCATCCCCCATCAGAGAGTTATCTGTGCTGTTCAGGGGCCCCTCAGGACCAAGGAATCTGATGTTTGCTCCTTTCAGCATCTGATCCTACCTCATTAGCTTTGCACTGGATGAGTATCCATATAGCACTGACTGTGGTTTAGTGGCCTAAAGCTAAGGGTATAATGCTATTTAAAGTGTCTTGAGGTGTCTTAGGTCTGCTTCCGGGTGCCATGGGTCTTCTGTAGAGGCTATGTCAGATTTGCCAGCCCTGTCCCCGTGTCTGGGAAACACAGGGTATCTCAAATGTCACTAAATGCTTAGTTTTAGGCAACTGAATTGAGTACTGAAAATGGAATAAGTCGTCTTAGAGCCTTGTAAAGGCACAATTCCTCACTTCCAAATATATACCCAAATAATAGAAATAACTTCCATCGATATTAAATAATTTAGAATATCAAATATTCTATGAACTAACTAGGTACATTCAGTGAAGTGTCACTACCACACAGCCTGGAAGGTTTCTTGAAGACTTGAGCCCCGCTACAGTCAGCCTGCAGAAAGCTTCTGTGTTCTGGCTGCATCACATCTCTGAGCTCAGCTGGCCCAGCCTGATGTGAGTTTTACCTGTAGAAGACCTTGGACAGACAGCTGCCTCAAATTTGCCATTGCTCTCCTTTCTGGTACAGAGGGTAATTGTTAGTGATTTCTCTGAAGAAAGCAGCCTTGGAGCTATTTTTCAGACATCTCAGAGCTCTTTGTCACTGATGTGGCTTGTCAGAGACACTGTCACCTACGTGACATGGTGACAGCTCTATGCACTGCAAAACCACACCAAGCTTTTAATTTTCTTTCATTTCTATCCTCACTGCTTGCATATCCCCAGTAACTATCAGCAGTTTGCAGCATTGGTATTCTTTTTTTCCAATGTTGTCCTGAACACAGTATCACCAGGTGTCATAGGTACCATTCTTTCATTTATCACTTATAAATAGTTGCCAAAGTCTGATTTTCTGACATTTTAATTAGCAGTCTTACCATATTGAAGCTGTTTCCTCTCTGAACTACGCACAGACATGATCAGGATGAGCACTTGTGAGCAAAAATCCTATACACTGAGACCTGATAAAATTCATAGTACTACAATGATTCATCCTTGGATATTCCTCTATGAGGTGCCATGTCTAGTGAAAAGAGGTTTGGTATGTATCATCTTATGTTCACCTGATCTATTTTTAAGAAAAAACTATTTGGGAGACACAGAATAAAACATTAGCAAATGCTCCTAGATGTTTTCCAAGCATCTAAGATAAAGCTGTGCCTACAATTTAAAAACAAATCTTCTATAGTCTGTTTATATTTTTTCAATATCTAAATGCACTCCTATTTACTTCTAAATCCTACTTACTTCTAAAGATATTTTTCTGCAGGTATTAGCATATCCATGCCTTTTAAAAAATCCCCTCTAATCCTGAGATATCCCATTTACATTGATAACTAGAATTAGGAATATGCAGTCTAAAATACTGTTTGATAAGAACTGCTTGCTTTCTGCACAAGCTCCTTCTGAGCAACAGCTCTGACTATCACATAGTCCTAAGATTGATGGCACAGGTATTAAAGATCAGATTGCTATGCACATAATCAGCCTCTAGTTTTGTACCTAAATGCTTTTGTCAGCGTCCAATTCAGCTTATAACTTGTGCAGATGAGGCTGAAAAACTGACATAAAATTTTAGGGTGTGCAACAAGTTGGCTGTGCTCCTTTGGTTATGGCAATAAGTTAATTTGTGGTCAGGTTTAGATATTATTGGTCTTTTGCATGTAAAGGGAAACCTCAAAGCAAAACTTCCTTCTTTATTTGAGTGCATTGTCAAATTCTTTTATTTGCTCCTCTGCTGCTTAAGCAATTGGTCTTCAGGAGGAGAAACACATGTAAGCAAAATGCTCCATCCTTTCCCCTGCAGTGCCCAGGAGGCATAGCCACTCTCTCAGCTGAAAACACTACCTGCATAAAGAACAAGTCTATCCAGCTTCTTTTTCTAGCCTTTGCCTTTGAGGAAATTTTCAATGGGCATTAAGCCCGTGGGTCAGTGGATTACTTTTAGCTCTGTACTGTGTCAAGCGCTTCTGTCCCTTATGTCATACCCCATTGTCTTTTTATAATTTTTCTTTCCCAGTGACTATGCTCCTTTTTCCTTCATGCTGCTTTCTGTGGTGCTAAAGGTGAACATCAGGCGTGCTTTTAGGAAGCCAATTCAGAGGACCTGTTTCAACTGCATCTCTAAACCTTCCAGAGCTGCTGGGTGCCTGAGTTTTGGCGGCATCTTGGCTCAGCCGCAAGGCTGGTGCCTGGGGCTGTGGAAGGGAGGGCGGGAGAGCGGTGCAGAGCAGGTAGCTGCTGGGAGCACAGCGATGTGGAGCTGGGTGCCTTCTCTGCCTCCTCCCTGGTCATACTGGGTTTTGTAGTGGTTTACTAGCAAGGCTTGCAAAACATGAATGCAGACACAGAGGTTTGCAATACAGAAATGTCTCTCCCACCACTGCATATTTTTAGCTTTCTCTTGTGACCACTGATTAGATACTTTGTTTGCATTTGACACTTGCTCGCTCTAGGGTTTTCTGCATCTGAATCCTGCACCCTCAAAAATTATTGCTAAGAAAATACAAATTGCTCTGCCCTCCATGTGTGTAGCTTGTCTTTTATGTCAGGCTTTCCTAAGCTTATCAGACAACAGGTGCCTGTCAATTCTCAGTGGCTCTCATAAAATTCATGTATGAATCTTTTTCAGTCTTTCAACTGAAAATGTTACCTGGGCTGAGGATTTGCTGGCTGCTGATGTATCTTGGTCCACAGTTTGGGAATGACTTTTGTATTCTGCAAGCCCTGAGTTTTCCCTCTCACTGGTGTTCTGTGAAGCCTTTTCAGGTGGCGCTTGTTCTCCCATTTGTTCAGCAGCTTGAAGATGGCCAGTTTCATTTTTATCACTTATTTCTTTTTTTTTTTTTTAAATTTTTTTTTCTTTAAAGTCAAAAGAGCTTTGAATTCACTGAGACACTTAGGTTTTATTGTACATTCATCCCAGGTAATGCTCAGCAATTTTCTTACACACTTGTTTTCTAATACAATACCTGTGGTGAAGGGCTGCTGAAAAAACTTGGACCAATTAATATTGACACACGTTGGGGATTCAAGAAACAGGCAGGTTTTAAAGAAAGGTGAAGAAAGAACCTAAAGAAGCCAACCTGCAGTTAAATAATCCAATATTAATGATGTAAAGGGAACCTTCAAGAGAGGGATCTAGCCATAAAACCTTTCAACTACCATATCCTGTAGGGGACATTTAAATAGAAAAGACAGTATTGTAATTTACAATGCTCTTGTCAGTAAATAGCAGCAACTATGACAAGCCACCTGTTAGCTCTCCTGCTCTCTCTAATTGCTGTTATCCTACCCCTGAGATGTAAGTACTCATCTAAGGATAAAAATATCCAGATTCTCACTTCCTCTGGATAACACATACCATAACTGCACTTCTGCTGCATTTCAGATGGCTGCACGGACATTATCGGAGGACATGTTGTGCATCCTCATTCTTGGCCTTATATGGCTGCTATCCAGAGAAAGAATTTAACTAAGTGTGGAGGAGCTCTTGTGGAAAAGCAATGGGTTTTGACAGCAGCACATTGTAAGTATCTGTGGTGGGT